TTAAAATCTAAAGCTAGTAAACAAGTAGCACTTTCAGAATTTCCAAGCGTTTATGCTAGAGTAATAGGTAAAAATTTTTTATATATATAATTATGAAAATATGATACTTTTTTTTTATTAATTATAATGATATTTTTTTATAGCTAAGCCTTGGGATATTGTGGATTATGGAGTATGTGATATTGAAGATATCCTCAATGAAATACCAAAAAATACTATTGTTGTCACTGTAATTAATGGAGGGGATAAAATGATAGCTATTCCTAAACGAGAACAAACTGAGGAAGAAATAAAACGAACAAAACGATTTGCTATAGAAGTAATAAAATCAAAAATATTATAAAAAATTAATTATATATTTATAAATATATATATATATATTAATATATTTATATTTTATTTAGGTTATCGAATTGTTACGACATGCACCTCAATGTAGAATGCAATTTAATAAATTTGTACCATCATATCATCATCACTTTGGTCATCAGTGTCGGATATCAGATTACGGTTTTACAAAATTAATTGAATTATTTGAAGCTATACCAGACATAGTTAAAATAGAAGATGATGGTTCTGGAGAAAGACAAATTTCATTGACAGAGAAGGAAGGACTTCGTGTACTTTCTAAACAAATATCTAAATTAATTACTCGGTCGGGAGGTTGTCTTAGCGTTTCAAACATTGCACAAAACTTTTTACATGAATTTGGTTATGCGATAAAACCAGAATTATTTGGATGCACTTCTATATTACAACTTATGCAGAAACTCGGGGATACTGTAAAGGTATGAAAATATTGTATATTAATATATATGTATATATATATGTATATTAATATATATGTATTATATATTATATATAATATGTATTAATATATAGATATAAATTAATATTAAATATTTTAATTTATTAATTTTTTTAGATTGTATATCTACCAAGTAAACTTGTAGTTATGATGATAGATAAATCTCACTTGCAGCAATTAACTTTACAATGCCGTCGATTATTAATTGATAAACCACAGCATAGAATGCCAATTAAAGAGTTTCAACAATTATATACTCAATACTATTTAAAATCATGTAATATAGACGAACTAAAGCAAAATTTATGTAATGTAGTTCAAGTAAGTTAATTTTTAATTTGATTTTATTAAGTAAATATTTTTTATAACAAATTTATAATAATATATATATGATTTCAGTTTATAACAATTGATGATGAACAATTTGTAGAACTTACTCCATTACATTGTTTCGCTTGTAATTTATGTCGCGTAATGATGAATTATGGTGGAGCATTAAAACTTTCACAATTCGAGACAGCATATTTGTCTACTATAGGTTCTGCTTGTAAGCCTGTAGATTATGGATTTCCAACAACATTTGCACTTTTACAAGCATTACCTTGTACAGTAACGATAAAATTATCACGGCGAAAAAAAAATATTATATATTTGAATAAAAAAATTGCTGGTATGTATAAATAATTATTCACAATTATTTTAAAAATATTATTAATGTTGTTTTAATTTATTTTTAAACGAATTAAATAGCTGTCGATATGGCATTACCATCAACATGCGCATCAGCATCATCATACTGTGATACTGATTCTAGTAATGAATCCTTTGAAAGTGATTCATCTTCTCACGTCAATATTTCAAATAATTCGAATACATTAGAACATGCAAAGTGGACAGAACAAACTGTTGATAGTCAAAATTTCTGGAAGCAAACAGAAAAGAATAATGTATGGTCTGAAGAATCTAATAAATCTTGGAAAACATCAAGTTCGGAAGACCGATCGCTTAATTGGCCATTGCGAGAAAGTGGAAGTGAAAGTTTTTACAAAAGCTTAATGCAAACGCCAATTATACCATGTGATTTTCCTGCACCTAAACCAGATTCTCCTCCTGAGGTATTTTCTTTGATAAATAGTATATTTATATGTATTTTTTATTTAATAAATTTTGATAAATTATTTTTTAAATTATAGAAAGATTTAAACAAAAATCAATGCGAATCCTCAGTTTGCATGACACCAACAAAATTTACATATCCACGTACTCCTAACGTACAGGTAAGTATTACAAATATATAATTTTAATTATTTTTATAATACTATTTATTAGTATAATTTGTATTATCGTTTTTTTATATTAATAGATTCCTCCACTGACTTTACATCCTTCGTGGCATCAAATCACATCTGATGGTAGTAATTTACTATCACCAATGAAAACTTTATTAACTGCTTCAGAGAATCCTTTAAATCCATGTACTTCACCTTTCTTTTCTTCTAAGCATAATTTGGTTGTTGCTCCTCATCCTTCTGAATTGCCACTTCCTTCGTTATCATTAACTCCTAAAAAGAACATGTCTTCAGAAGCTGTTGCCGAAAATTCTATAAATAAACAAGAAAATACTGTCAATAATCTCATAGAAGATATGAGTCTCAAAAATGAAAGTGATAATAGTAATGCAAAAACTAATAACAAAGAAAAATATAGTACTCCTACAAAACAATGTAAGTAACTTATTTCTTTTAATAACTTATTTTTGTTTTTATTAATTGATTATTATTTTAATTATCGCATATATTAAATGAAAATATATTCTTTATAGTATTTACCAGCAAACGTCGTTTAGCTGCTCAATTTAATCAACCTATTGAATCATAAATTTAGTAAGAGAATAAAGAATGTGTTTGAATACAATATGAAAATACGAAATTTGGTATCTAAACACATTTCATAGTCATATGATGTGTTTAAACAGAGTTAATAAGAAGAAGAATGTATTAGCATCTCGGTAGGCTGTTAAACACTGGGTTCAAATATCTATATGCCATTTTCAAAATAATGGTAGGTACGCTCTCCCATTTATATTTAAAATATTTATGATAATAATATATCGATTTGATACGTATAAAATAAAATTTATTTTCAAGAGGCATGAGGCTAAATTTTCATATTTAGAGGCAATATCTATATACTAAGTACCTATAATTTTCGATTTAAAAATTGTGAATAACTGTGAAGCGTTTATACCGAGAGATCTATATTGATTGTATTGCGTGTCAAATTCATGTAGCATTTTTCATACTGTGATATAGAATAGGAAAAAAAAAAAAAGAAAATTAATGCATAAAAACAAATAGAAAATGAGTAATAATTGTACAAATTTTATAGGATTGGGCCAGTGCCCAATGTTGAGACCTGCTGTTTGTTATAACGAAGTTACACCTCAATAAAATTTTATGTAAAGCAAAAATTAAAATCAAATTTTGTTCATTAATAATTGCTAAATATTTTTTTTTTAATTTTATTGAATTTTATTATAATTGAGACTTTATTGGCTCAACCCTATTAATCATTGTAAATTATTCTCATAGAAAAATGAATTGTACTAAAAAAGACCAACATATAAATTGTTATACAACAATAATCTTTTTATCAATTATAAAATTGAATATAATTCATTTTTATAATTTATTCGTTAACTTTAACTTTTATTCATACAATTATTTGTCTCATTAGTGTCAAAGAATTTCTTTTATTATTATTATCAGTTCATTTCTTATTATCATATACAATAATACTTTATAATTGTATTATGAATGAATGGGTTTTGAAAATCCTAATGGTGATTAAAAAGCAATGTATGATATCTTGAAGTGTCATACTATTTTTTTTTGTATAAATGAAAATGTTTTTAATTAAAGAATTATTAAGTTCAATGTTAATAATCACTATTAAATAACTGAAACTCGTGAATGGATAAAAAAAATATAAAATGAAATTTTTATAAATTCCATTTAAATTTATTAAAAGATTATATTAAATAATGACAGGCAATAAATATTTTATCTAAAATAAGACAAAAAAGAAATACTTTCGTATCAGTCAGATTTCAATATCTAACATTACTTTAAGTAATAACAATATTACTCTAAAATATTTTGTTTTGAAAACAAAAAAAAAAGATATTGATGATCCATTATTTATGAAAATATATAATTAATACATTTAATATGTGATACGAATGAATGGCAAGATATTGCTCTCTTTGAATAATATGTAAATGATTTTGTCTCATATTTTACTTTTACTTTATTATTAAGAAATATTTTATTATATTAAAAATAAAATATATATATAATTTCATAAACAGAATTCAGATCAAAAATATTATGAATTACTAAATGCATGAATTATTTCTAGAAAGATTATATATTTCAGATTCGCTACATTGCTTGATATCATGCCATAAAAAATGCAAGAATCATGAATCAATCAAATCATATTATCATATATAAAATTTATAATTCCTTACATGACAGTCATATGTATTAATATTTTTATTATGTTTTCTAAATTTAATTTGTATTAATTTATTCATATCAAATAATATAGTTTTGTTACATGTTATATATTTATTATGTAGATATAATGTCAATTCTATTGTATTTTATATTTATATGAAAAAAATGATAATTTTTACTTTATTTTTTAAATTGTATGAATTCGTCAATTTAGATTTTCTATTAGTCACAATAAAGTTCCGTTTTATATTTTAAAATTTTTTATTGCTTGAATTTAAAATATCATGCATCTTCACATAAATATTCATTTAGAATATTATTTATAGTAAATTTTATGTAAAATAGTTTTTAATAGAGCATTCTGACTAATAGAAAATTTAATTAATCCTTATGCAAAGAATGTAAAAACGCGTAAAATGTAATAATTGCATAAGAAAATTTTATTGTAGTAACAAATACAAAGGAAATTGTAAAGTATAAATATTCAGTGGAATCTTCTAAGCAAGTATGGAATAAAATAGTTTATTATATAATAAATCAAAAATTTTTGTACATATTATTATAGAAAATGATTAAAAAAAATCAGCATTGAAATATGAAAATTATATTTATAAAATATAAAATTTAAATATCAGGTTTATAATTATTATTATACAAATGAAACACAATAGTTTATAATATAATACATTAATTTATTTTATCTCTTTACAGAGTATCTATCTGTACAATGATGCAAATGCACCTGTAATCTCAAATTGAGATGAATTAATAATTTATATATCATATCTTTTATTAGTAATACCACTACCAACTGGACCATGACGTCGTTCCCAAATCATACGATGCTTTTGTTTCATGAATGCATCAACTACACTTAGTGGTATACCAATATCTCCATCTGTATTTCATTACAACATTAAAATTAAAATTGAAATTAAACAGAATAAAATAATTTTATAAATTTTAAATATTCATACATTTTATAAACCATGCAGTACTTGCATCTTGATAAATTTTATATAAGTCATTACAATATTTATCTTTATCATTCTCATAATACCAACCACAATCTTCATATCGTTGTCTCAAGATACTAAGGACCTCATCATCAACCATCCTAATTTTGATTACATATTGATATAAATATATTTAATCAATAATATAAAAATATAATTTTTATTTAAACATTTAATAAGAAATGTACTTATCACGTTCAAATTGTTTTTGTGCTTCCCAACGACAAATTACATCTGATTCATAACATTCATCAATTGTTGGGACACGACGAAACTTTTGATGATACCATGGATATTTCTTTTGATTTGGTACGACTATTTTTTCTATTAAAATAAGAAATTATTACTGTCATTGATTTTTCTAATAACATAACCAAATAACTGATTAGATAATACCTCGAAAATATTCAACTGGTGCGTCTAATAGATAAAATAATTTTTTCATAAATTGAAAAAAGAAATTTTGTTCTGGATCCATTTTTAAGGAATTAAATATAAATTAAAAATTGTATAATTTGTTAAACACTTCTATTCGAAATTATCCGATTCTCGATTCAAGAATCATGGAAGAAGTATACCAAAAACTACATCTAGTAATTATCATTATATCTATAATATATCAATTATATCTAATAATATTTCCAAATTTTTAAATGATTATTTTAATATCTTCAATTGTGTATTTTTTTTATTTATTATTTATTATTTTTAATGAAATTTATTCCTTAATTATTATTATGTATCTAATAGGGAATTTTTGTATTTAAAATAAACTAAAATAATTAATCAATTTTATTCAAATTTTGCTCAAATAAATTTTAAGAAACTCAATTCAAACAATAATTTTAAAAATTTAATGAAAAAAATATAATAAATATAAACTTTATAATAAATTATGTTTGGATAAATTTAAATACAATATTTTTATACTATCACGAGAATCAGCTTTAAGTTATATACATAAATTCAAATTGAAAAGAATGAAATTGTTTATGCTTATAAATAATAAATAAATAAATAAATAATGTATTAATAAAATACATTATATATCTTTTTGAATAAATGATGTAGATGATATTAGCAGGAAAGAATTTAAAATTCAAGAGGAAATTATTTATTGAAATCTCGGAATTTATCTTTATAATAAATTAGAAATTTAATAAAGCTTAATTAGCTTGTATTGTAATAATAAATAAGTTATTATAAGTTATAAGTATTTTGAAATTTTTTGTAAATTTTGTTAAATATTTTTTGATTGTTTTCAACCTAATTCTATATACATATTTTTTTTTATACATATTTTGTTACCATAACAGCAAGATATTTCTATTCTCAAAAAATGAAAGAGAATTGACAAAGAGAACTATTCTTCACAAAGGCAAAATCTTAATCTATTATCGGATCAAAAAAATAAAAAAGAAAGATCATAGATTTAAAAAAAAGGAATAGAGAAGATAAAAGAAATTTTTGCGAGTTTTGTAAACATTAATTAGCATCTCACAAGTTAAAATATAGTTTATAATAGATTGTTTGATTTTCGCGCATTTTGTTGAGCAGAATGATTAGCATTTCATGGTCACCAACCTACTCAATTGTTAAATAATCTTTTTCTTAATAAATGCATAACATATTAAATATTAACGCGTGTAGTTTTTTAAAAAAAATTCATTTAAATTAATTATATTATTTTAAAAAAATTTAATTTAATTGGTGTCTTGTATTTATTATTCTTTATAAATTTTGTTTAAAATAGTTCTATATCTCAATAAAGTTTCATTTTATAATAACAAAAACAAATATTTCCTTAAAACTAATGAAAATATTTATCCATGACAATTTTTATAAAATTTTAATAAATATTATTAAATTGCTGTGTTTATTGTTTCAGTTATACAGTTATAAAAGAAGATACATAATATTTACATAGTAAAATTGTAACTAAATCTTCATATTTATTTCTTATCATATATATAACTTATAAATATATTACAAGAAAAAATATAAACAAAAATAATATAAAATATAAAAAAAATTATATTTAAGTATATTAAATTAATTTATTTGATATTTTTAAATCTAGTTACTTTTGTAATGAAAATATTGGTAAAACATTTGTTCTAATAGTATAAAAGGAAGTTTCAGGAAGTGATTCTTCCATTTTCATCGTTTTAAGTAACATGGTAAGTGTGTGTGATGTTGTTCTTATTAAACATTGATTCCTTTATCTGAATTATTAAATTATGTTTTATCTTAATTATTAAAAATATATTACATTATTTATATATTGTTGTTAAACAATAGTAATATATTTTTTCGATTAATAAAAAAAATTAATCAAAATATTTTATAGATTACATAAATTTATGTATAAGAATAATTTTAATAAGAATCACATGTTTCATTTTTATCACATTTTTTATGATGATCACATTTTTAATGTTTATGGTTTTAAAACTGAATAACCATGAGGATAAATTCTAGGGCGGTCTGATATTTCTAAATTAACCGTATTTTTTTTTTAATAATTTATATATGTTATTCAATTAATATGAAATATGGTTTTTATAGTCACACAGAAAATTCAGTGCGCCACGTCATGGATCTATGGGATTTTATCCCAAAAAAAGATCTCAACGGCATCGTGGTAAAGTAAAAGCGTTTCCTAAAGATGATCCAAGCAAACCTGTACATTTAACGGCTTTTATCGGTTATAAAGCCGGTATGACTCACGTAGTCAGGGAAGCTGATCGTCCAGGATCAAGTAAGTGATATTTTTTTTTAATACGAATTAATAATTTTTCTTCTTTTAAATATAAAAATTAGAATTAAACAACTTATGAAAAATTTTATTAAATTATAAATAATTCTATATTAGAGTTACAACTATTGATATTGTAATAATAAATATCTTTAAGATATTAGATAAAAATAATTGAAATTCATATTTTTTTTTTATTCAAAATTAGTATTAAGGATGTTAATAATTACAAAACCCAATAATATTTTATTGAATTTTTTATATATTCTATATAATTTGTGAAGATAATATGAATAGAAACTGAAATAAATTATAATTTATATTGATAATATTTTTACCATGATAATAACTTAATTTATTTTTTATTTATAAAAAAAAAATAAAAATTCTAGATATTTCTAATTAATAATATCTTAATCATATTATTGATATATCATTGATATATAAAATTATTGATTATTGAGAATATATAATATACAAAACTCTATCTATTATGATCATATATATAGTCATCAGATCATATATAGTCTTCAAAAATCTTCATATATATTTTTAAAGAAATGATTTATATGAAATTTTATTTCAATAAAAGTATGCATGTTTTATATTAAAAAAGATTAGTCATTCAGATAATGTAATTTTTTGAATGATTTAATAATTGAATTGCTAATCAAAGATAATCATATTCATATGATCTTTAATCTCAAAATTTAATTCTCATATATGTGTTTATTCAGGATTATATAAACATTGTTATTATTAGAAATTTGATAAAATTATCAATTGATCAAAAAATTATATTGAACAATATTATTATTATATGTTTTAAGAAATATTATATAATGTTTATTTTTAAATAAAAGTATCTTTTTTTAGAAATTTATAAAAGTTTAGATATAGATATAGACTATATAGGATTTTCCGAAAATTTTGGAACATCTGTAAACTGGAGATTCCCAAAATAATTTCAAGTAACATTTTCCTTTGCTAAATATAGTCCTAAAATATAAAAATTTTGACTTTATTAACGAATTATTAAAAATAATAATAACAAAAAATATTGGTCAATTACGAAGTGCGTAGTCTAATTGACAATAATATTGATTACATCGACTGAACACGAACAAGTGCAAATAATATATCTCGAAAAAAGTGTATTGAATATTATACTTATTTATTCATTGTTTCTAATATAATTCGATATATTAATTTTTTATCGATAAAAAAATATTTGTTATATTTAATATATTTTTTTCGAGATATATTGGTTTGTTCGGAAAGTAATTTCATTTTTTTTTCATGACAAAAACAAAATGTGAAAAAACAAAATTACTTTCTAAACAATCTAATTTGGAATTGTTAAAGCTTGGTTTATAGCATGTAGTCAACACTACTGTTGCGGCATAATTAGACTATGCACTTTATAATTGGATAGTATTTTTTGTTAATAACTCGTTAACAAAATCATAATGAAAATCAAAGGAAAATATTACTTGAAATTACGTCAAGAATTTCCAATATTTTTAGAATATTATATAAATAGTACGACATGATGATCAAAGTTTAATAAACACGAAAATGTGTTAATTTACTTTGGTTGCGGTACAAGAGCTGTTTGATATTGTGCAGTATGGTCTAAACCGCAATGTCGAAAAATAACTCTGCTTTCTGAATATAGAGAGCAAAGAGGCACGACATATTCCATAATCTCTTTGAAATCCATTGGGTGATGATCATTGAGACAAACCATGTCTGGCATAATTCTATATATAATATAATATATATAACATTATATTGACTTTTCTTGATGTCTTTTTATTGTATTTTATACATATATATTTTTCTTTATTTATTTAGAGGTGAATAAGAAAGAAATTGTAGAAGCAGTTACTATATTAGAAACACCACCTATGATTGTAGTTGGTGTAGTTGGTTATATTGAAACTCCGCATGGTTTACGTGCTCTTACCACAGTATGGGCAGAACACTTATCTGAAGATTGTCGAAGAAGATTTTATAAAAACTGGTAAGAAAAAAAAATTGTTATTAATATATTTTTTTTTTTATGTATTTATAATATAGAAATGTAAAATTATTTTAATGAATCTTGAATCAGCTCTCCACTCAATTTGATGAGAGCATATATTTGGATCTTGCCTTAAAAAGAAATAATTCTTTTAAAAGGCTGATCCAAAATGTGTATAGTCTCCGCTCGTTACGATGAGACTAACACGTTACAGATAAACAGGTATTTATAAATTGAAAACAAAAAGCAGCCATTACGGTTCCTTTTCTATAGGTACAAGAGTAAAAAGAAGGCATTTACAAAAGCTTCCAAAAAATGGCAAGATGATCTTGGTCGTAAATCTATAGAAAACGATTTTAAAAAGATCGTTAAGTATTGTAAGGTCGTACGAATTATCGCTCATACGCAGGTAATTCTATTACAAATCTAATTTATTTAATTTTCTTTTAAAGTAAAATTTTTATTTATATAAAATTTATCATAGATGAAACTATTAAGGCAACGTCAAAAGAAAGCCCATATAATGGAAATTCAATTAAATGGTGGAACTATTGAGCAGAAAGTTCAATGGGCTCGTGAACATTTAGAAAAACCAGTACCTGTCAGTAATGTTTTTGCTCCAGATGAAATGATAGATGTAATTGGTGTTACAAAAGGAAAAGGATATAAAGGTATATTTAATAGCTTTTTTTTCTTTTTATATAAAATATATTTTTAAAATAAATTATAAAAAAGATTGGACTAAATGATGACAAAGCATGATATAGATTATCTGATCATTTTGAAGATATTTCATGCTGCCTTCCTACTGAAGTCTTTAATAATAAAAGGATTTCTATTGTTTGTATATATATGCATATATATATATATATATATATGCGGATGTGTATGTGTACGTGTGTATTTATCTATGTCTATATTTTGTAAAGCCTATTATTATTAATACATTTGATTTATATAGGTGTTACGTCGCGTTGGCATACAAAAAAATTGCCACGCAAAACACATAAAGGTCTAAGAAAAGTCGCTTGTATTGGAGCATGGCATCCTAGCCGTGTGTCTTTTACTGTTGCACGTGCTGGTCAAAAGGGATATCATCATCGTACAGAGATGAATAAAAAAATTTATAGAATTGGACAAGGAATTCATACTAAAGATGGCAAGGTAAGATATTTGCATATAAAATTGTGTCTGCTTAAATTCTAATTTATCGTGTATTCGATTATTCTCGTGAAATAATTAACAATTTTATTTCAAAATATTGAATAAACATTAAATGACAGGGCAATGGTAATTATTGTTATATAAGTAATTATTATTATGTAAGAATTTTGTTTAAAATTCAAATGGGCATTTATTTTGTCTTCTATAGAAAATAATTGCTTCTTCCCTATGTTATTCTTCTTCTTCTATGGAGATTACATCATAAGAGGCATATATAAACAACTTGTCCATAGTACCTAAAACATATTCATTATGCTTTAGTTCTCCAAAACAAGTGACACATTAAATTGATTTATTTGTTTATTATAAAACAATTTTCTAAAACTTTATGAAAATTTTCTTTTTAATATTCTTTAGATCGTAAAAAACAATGCTTCCACAGAATACGATCTTACCGAGAAAACTATAACTCCTATGGGAGGTTTTCCTCATTATGGTGAAGTGAATAATGACTTCATTATGATCAAAGGTTGCTGTATGGGTCCGAAAAAACGTGTAATTACATTACGTAAGGTAAGAATTATGATTATCTTTTTGAATGATTTTCTTATTAAATTCATGATGAATGATAAAGAGCCAAATAATTTCTATGAAATTAAAATGATATTTAATGATAGGACTGATATATAATTAGAATTATATATGTTTTATATTATTTTTATATAATATTTATAATCTAATCATCTATTTTTACAGTCCTTATTGGTTCACACCAAACGATCAGCATTGGAGAAAATCAATCTTAAATTTATCGATACAAGTTCCAAATTTGGACATGGTCGTTTTCAAACTGCTGCTGATAAGACTTCATTTATGGGTCAACTTAAAAAAGATCGTATGCGTGAGGAACAACAGGCACAAGCCACTAGCTCTGCACCATCGGCCGCAAATGCTTAATAATATATATATATTAAAATATGTATAAAATAAATAATAAAAAATTCTATGTAAAACTTACATAACTTTTCAATTTCTTTTTGAGAATGTGAAGAAAAATAAATAAGACAATTATTTGCTTTTTATTTAATAAGGCAATTAGAAATTGATTCAATTTTTTGTGTACATTTTATGTACCAAATATAAATAAAAATAGTGAAAAAAGAATAGAAATAAGATAAAAATTAAAGAATCTAGAATGCCTCAGATAAAACAAACAAAGAGAGCAAATAGTGAAAGACGGAAAAGGAATAACAATTGACATCTACGTTAATATATATATATATATATATATATACATGATCAATTTTTAATAATATATACAAATAGTTATATAAATATATTTACAAAATTTATGTATTTGTTTATGAATAATTTTTAGATATTAATAAAAATTATTAATTATGATAAAAAAAATAATTTATTAATAGATCATAATAAAATAAAAAGAAATAAACTTCCGAAAATTATTTATTTTTTAAACAATTATAAATAAATAATTTTTTAGATATCTGTGTATTATTTTTACTATTTTTTTTTCAAATTAAAATGTTATAAGCAAATAATTACATTGAATATTATCAAAATCTTAATTAAAATTTTATTTTTTCGAAATTATAATCTTCAAGATACATGTTATAATGAACGTTATTTAAAATTATAAAAGTAAAATAAAAATTAATAAATAATTAAATAAAATATATATTTCAGACTTTATAATAATTAAATTATATTTTATAAATATTTATAAATTATTTTGAAAGTAAAAACTTCTATCATTATTTTACTCACATGTGGCATCACATAAATGATTTTATTTTTGCTTTATAACAATTATCTAAAGCTGCAATTTATAAATATATAATCTAAGTGAAGTTCCAAAATGTCGTGTGTATTCTGTAGCTTATTTGGAATACATAATTGTGTCAATAATACTTGTGTCAATAATAATTGATTGTTACTACATTTAATCATAGATTTAATTCTTATTAGCGTTATTTTATTCTATTTTAAATCAATAATGTCGCATATGATAGGTAAGTAATGTAAATATAACTTACTTCTTATGCCTATTGAAACCAAATAAATACAAAGCAAAAATATAGTGAATAAATAAATTTATTCTATTATAGCTATAACATATGAATATTAAAAACATGCAAAAACACGAAAATATCGGAAACTTGATATTCAGAATAAATCGGATTAGATCAATTAAAAATATTTCAAAATTCTTAATTATTATAAAATTATAAAAAATAGAATTTAAATTAAAAATAATAATCAAATATGTAATAAACATATTCATTATAATACAAATACCAAAAATTCTATAAATTCTCTAAACTGTTCTGTAAACTGTAAAAATTCTGTAAACTGCATACTTGTAAAACAAAAATTCTTTTTAATTCTTTTCTTTGTCCAATATTTATACAAATAATTGTCTTTGAGAAAATTCAATTCATAAATGTCAAAGTAAAAACTTCATTTTTGAAAATGAATTCAGACAAATTATATGTATACGATTTCTTTTTTACAAAGTTATAATATATCTATCAACAATTTAAAATTTTTTTTTATTAAAATTTAATTTTGTAAATAAATATAATTTTAAAACATTTAGATTTCCAATATTTTTGAATCTTGAGATATTTTTTTGGGGATCCGATTTCGATTCTAAGTTTAATTCTAAATTAAACTTCAAAAACTTAACATTTTCATATGTTCTCACATCTCTAATAAATATGCATATATATGTGTATATATATATTGTAATTTTCAAATTGTAATTTTTTGAATCTTATTTTTGATATCAATATAATTCCGTGATATTTCATATCATATATTTATATCATACGAAACATTTTTATGTTAAATAAGGAATACATGAGAATAAATATTTATTTACAGAAATGTGTACACAGCGCGAACCTGCTATAATCTTTCGTAAACAACTCATTGGTTTTATCTGTTACTTTACAATAAAATGATTAATCTCATTTATATACAAATACAATGCTCCAATTATAATATATTTTTACTTTAAGGGATATTTTAATATATATTTCAATATATAATATTTATATATACATTTATATATATATATAAATATAATATTATATTGATTTTTATCTTATCATATATAATAAATTAATTCTATTTTATATCTTTATATAAAATAATTTTTCGTAAAATTTAATTTTTTTATGATTTTTAATAATATTAAAATCATTCTATAATTGGATTTAGAAATAAAATAGTTAATTAAAAAAAATATATAATAATAAAATATTATTTCTTATTATTTCTTAATCAATTTAAAAGAGAAGAACTGTAATAATTCATAAGATTTTTGAAGTTTTATATTTTTAAAAAAATAATAATTAAATATAATATTTAGTTATTGAAAGAAATTATATCAGTACAATATGTTATAAATATTTCCTCATTTAATAATCATTTCTCAATCAAAAATCATTTCTTAATAATCGTAATTAATATCATAAAAACCGTCATTAATTTCTTACGATTTGTAAAGATCTATAGATCTTTATTTACAAATTTCTATTAAAATGTTTTATTACAATGTATTATTATAACATTAATTATTGTAAGAATTGTATATCATTTTAATTTCTTTTTCTATTTACTAATATTATATATAAATGAAATAAATTTTGATAAAAACGAAGAAAGAAATAAAGAATTGAAAGAAATAAGAAAACACGAAAGAAATTAAAAAAATATTCTTCATAATTTTAAAACATGTGTAAAAAAAAAATTGAATATCAAAATTCATAGGATATTTAAGAAACTTTTATTCTAGGACTTCAACATGAAAAGATTTATAGTACGAGATTTATATTTGCACGAATGATATCTAAAAATAGGTCGTTACTCGGCGACTGGTACGCGACAGCAGCATGGGGCATCATTCTTGATAAGTTGTGATAAAAGTTAATAAAAGCGATTTAAATAGACACTCTTGAGGATCCACGATACTTGAATTTCGAGTCCACCCGTATAAGTGTTCACTTTCAAGTTTAATTTATTAACATCTATACATTGAAAGATTCTATCAACATTCTTTTTATACGGATAAATGTCGCAATTCTTTGACATTATTGATTTATTAATATTTGAATATCATATTAATCTTATTATGATAATACTGTATGTTATATTAATAGTATTATACTATACTATATTAATACTGTTATAATGTAATATGATTAGTAATTTTTTCTTATACATTGTTAATACATTAATAAGAATAATGAAAACATATTCTTATTATCTACCTTTATATATTTCTTTATTCCTATCGTGTAATCTTCGAATTTTACTAAATGTAAAAAATTTTTTAAAAATTGCTTTGCTTTTAGATGTTTGCAAATCGATTATACGTGTTCGTAAACTTAGTACCCGTAGTAGTGATCCTAGTGCCAGTAGCAGAAGTAGTACGATCGGATGTGTTTCAGTATGGCCAAAAGGGACAAACAGTGACAGAAATGCACCAATATTGTGGTCGAACTTTGTCGAGTACATTACAAATAATGTGCGGTAGTGTTTACAACTCTCGATTTAAAAAAAGTAATCAAGGTAAGTAGATATCAATATATTGATAATAATATTCCAAAAATTATTTATTAAAAAAAGTACTAGAATTATAGTTGGTATTATTGATGCAAAATGGAGGAAAGTTATAAGAATTTAAATATTTTCAATTCAATATCACATTCTTCTTATTTGTTTGATCTCAAATGTTTAAGAAATCAATTTTTTTCCAGAAATGGAGATGGATGATTATATGGCATTTTATGGTTACGATCTATATCCTTATAAATCTATTAAAAATGCGAAAAAAATGATACGATTTCGAAGAAACTCTAAAGGAATTCATGAAGAATGTTGCCTAAAATCTTGTACGACAGAGGAATTGCGCTCCTATTGCGGTGCCCGTTAATGAGGGAATTTTTTTAAAATTTTAAACATAAATTTAAGAAAATATTATTTTTTCCTATTTACTGGTTATATCATTTTTAACAATTTATAATATATTTTCAATAATTTTTTCAATGTAACAATTCAGTAAAATCAAAATTACGAATATTTTGTAAATGTTCTATTTTGTTTCTTTTAAAATTATTATTGTAAATTGATAATTTATTTAATTCTATGTTATAAAAAAATTAATAAGTTTATTTTTAATTGTTATATCTTATTTTACAATATAAATTTATATCAAATTAATTTGTTATAAGAAATCGGAAAATATGTGAAAATGAATTTAATATATATAATTTAAATATATATTATATTTGTATATATTATGTATATGCATATATTATGCATATTATTAATTATAAGAGATTTTAATTAGTATGATAATATTTTTTATTAAGAAGTACATGATGAAAGTTTTTCATAATTCATAATAATTGTCAGCTTCAACTGCAACTGGTTCAACTGACGAGAATTTAAAATTTACTGTAAAATATGATCTCATTTGTACTTAACCATATATTATGTAAGACAAATTCAATATTATTCATTAAAGATATTTACACGCATATATATATATATATATATATATACTTACCAATGTATCTTTTTTAAAGATGTACATTTAAAAAAATATTTATCAATAGGTTAGTTTTTATGAAAATTTAATTTTATACTATACATGCGTATAAATAATTTACTGTACTTATATCAAAAAATAAAAAATATAAAAAATGAATGATTATAAATTTTAATTTAATAAAAAATTGAATTTTAATTATGTGTTTTATGTATACGTTGTAATTAGGTTATATATATATATATATATATATATATATATAAATTAAATAAAAATAGTAGAAACTAAATTTTTGTGTATAATTTTATAATTGTATAAATATCAAAAATAAAAATTTATTAAGTTTTAATATACTTTCAAGATTTTTATTATATATTAAATATATATAATATAATATAATATAATTAATAAATTATATTAATTATATCATGCACAAAAATTTTTTATATCAAATTTAACAAATATATCAACATATATATATTTAACAATATATCAAATTTTTACAGGTGAAAGATTTTGTGAATTTTTACTTGTATAAATAAACAAATAATGGAGATAGAAGAAATTTATAGCCTTACAATTTTTCCACCAGTAATATCTAAATTTGCAGTTCAATGGTCTATGGATAATAATATATCTATTCTTACTGAAAAAGGAATTCACATATTCGTAAGTTTAATTTAATGAAGTTAATATCTAAAATTAATAATAAATTTAATTATTATTTTATGTAGGAATTGATACCTTCTCCAATATCTCCTTCTTCAACTATAAAATTCTCTAGATCCTTTATTTATACACCTTCAACATTTCCAACAGAAATTATATCTAACAGAATAGAATCCAAAATTTGGAATATGCATCGTGAAGAACTTTATTCATTTATAATTGAGGAAAGTATGACTCCAAAATTATCTAATGTAAAAGAAATGGTACCAAAAATAATTGATTTAGCATGGTCACCAAAAGATTTAATACATCCAAGCAAGTGTCTTATTGCTATTTTAACTTCAGCAGGTGCTGTTATAATTGCATGTAAAATCTGTAGAGATTGGTATCCTATATATGATTTATCTTCTTTACGTTATAATATTATAGAACAAAAGATTAATGAAGAATTAGAAGAAAATAAAAATAATTCAGTTTCATTTGAAACATTCAAAGTTTACATGAAAGCATTACAAGCTTCTTGTTTCACTTGGAGCAAATTTTTTGCAGATTTTGCATATTTTGTTGTTGCATATCTTAATGGAGATATAATTATTTATAAAATCTTAAAGATATTTGATTATAATGAAATACTTAATCCTAAAATTGTAGGAATAATAAAATTAAATGAATTTGTAAAAATGAATGTTTTAAATTGGATTACAATTAATACAAAGAAACATTTAATTATTATTGGATATTTTGATGGACGTATTTATGGACTTAATATTGAAGAGCATGATGAAAATTTTGAACTAATGTTCATTGAGAAATATTATGATTACACTGATCGTATTGCTATTAGTGCTATAAAAATATTTCCTCAAAATGATTTAAATATAAATGTTCTTATTGCAAAAGGATATTATCTATTTTTATTATGTTTTAAAGAAAATGGTACATTAAGAAGTATGCAACATTTGCAATTAGAAGGTTTTATGATTTCAGGTAAATAAAGAAAAAATATTTTATTATATAATATATAAAAAATATAATATTATATAAAAGAATTAATTATTTCTAGGAATGATTTGTATAAGTACAAACTGTGCACTGATCACAACAGAAAACGGTTCTATGTTTGCAATTGATATAAAAGAAAATCAGTTATTGAAAACAAAAGTAAATAATAAATTATCACAAGTTCATGTTCGATGTCTAGGTCTTGCACATTCTCCAAGTTCTGTGATTTTTATAAATATAACTAGTCCCAGCACTATGTACGATCATTTAGTAGTAAAGGAACCAACTAAAATATATATGTTTTGTTTAAAGAATAAAAATTGGAATCCATTATTTATTTTGAATCAAAGTAAACATGAAAAATTTGAGCAATTGTGGGATTGTTTAGAAGCAATTAGAATAAAAGCAACAAAAGCGTCAGACTTATCATTAATATTACCAAAAGTTCCATCTAATTTGGAATTTTTATCTTTGCACGAATTACGAATAATAATGTGGACATCTGTGATAATGGAAATTTGTGAAAAGAAAAAAATCATTCAAGGAATGAATAATATTGCTGGAGAAATATCAGAAGCTCAACCTTTAATTTTTATTCATACTGCATGCAATTATCTTATACATCTTGAAAGTAAATCTTCTTTGATAGAACAGCAAAAAGTTTCCATGAATTTATTAAAAATGTATTTAGAAGTATATTTGGCTGGAGAAGAAAATAAGAAAGTAACTCCACTTTCCAAGCGTATTAGAGATGTTTTAAAAAAAATATCTCAATACAATTTAAATAATATTGAGACTTGCAATCTATGTGGTGAAATGATAAATGATCTTTCCTGGAAAATTAGTAAGTGTTCACAAGGTCATATATTACCTAGATGTGCTATTACTCTTTTACAAATAACTGTGGTGCCATACAAAACATGTCCAATATGTGGTTTAATTTTTCATCCATGTTTGGACCAAGAATTTAAAGAAACGAGGTGTCCTTTTTGTGATGTACCTGCACTTGAAGAAAACCGAATGTTGAATTCTAAATATTATATTTCAAAGGAAAAGAGTTTGTCCAGATTACATAATTATATTTTAGAAGATCAAGAAATGGAAATAACTGCTGAAGAATCTTAAATCCAAATTTAAAATATCTTTTAATAAATGATATAATCAATAATGTAATATGTAAAATATGTGTATATTTCTTATCATAATTTTATGTATTTATTTATTATTAAATAATGTATTTTTAAGAATAAAAATGATATAAATAATAAAAGTGATATATGCTAAAAAAAATCATATTTTAAAAATCTTAATAATTGATAAATGTAAAAATTGTAGAATTATATTATATTTGATATATTTAAACATAGTTACGGGTTCTATCCCCAGAGGTCACTAATATCAGATGAACCATATTTATCTCAGTGAATCATTATATTCTTAAATGTGAGTTTTTTCATTAATTATATGCTTTTTTATTATTTAAATATAATAATTGGTATCAATTGATACATTTTATAGAAAATTAAAATTAAAAAATTCATTTTGAATTAATTGATTTAATAAATATTGTAATACGTAAAACAATGTAATACAAACATATAAATATAAAACTACAAAAATAAAGTATTTATTAAAATTTAACATATCAAATATTGAAACATTAAGCTTATTTTTATCTTAATTAATATGTAAAGGTAATAGTAATTATGCACTCATTCGCAAAATAAACGAGTTACAATTTAAATATAATTTTTGATATAATAAATTATAATTTGACAAAAATAAAATAATAACAATTTGTTATTAATATTTAGTTCATTAAAAATATTTCATTGATTAGATAGGATTTAAAACAAAAATTTGAATACATAAAAGACAATAGATGAATATATATATTTTTATATGAATATATAATTAATATATCAATAAAAGATCTTGCACAATATTATTCTTTTAACTTACTATTATTTTAATTTCATTAATTTTATAANATATGATAATATTTTTACACAGAAAGAATAAAATAATTTAAGTAGTTAACAGAATAATAAATAATAAAAGAAAAATAGTAATGATAATAATGTTTATAAAAATTTCCTTATTAATTTACAAATGTGAAGCTATAAATATTTTCAGAAATATAAGAACTTAAATGAAAACTTAAATAGTACTTTTGAATTTTGTAATTTGAAAATGAAAATGTTTTACATTTAATTCAAAGTCTTTTCAAAAATTATTTTATCAATCACTATGTTTTCTTCTTTCAAGTAAGTATACATAATAAAGAAAATAAATTAATGAGCTAATTTTTAAAAATTTTATTATAGAAATAAATATTTGAAAGAAATTTTATTTAATTAATTATATAATGGATTGATTTGTATTGAAAAGTTAAATTTATATAATTTATTCACATATATTAATAATTTATTAATTTATGTTTGATTTTAGGAAAAATACTAGAAAGAAATATTCACAAACATCTGAGATAAAATATCCTTCAATATCTATGAAACAGAGATTTGCAAAAGTAAAGAAGTTGCAAAATTCAATGAAGTCATTATGTGACAATGATTCCAGTTCTCTCGAAGACATACGACCTTTTTTTCTTAAATCTAATTCATGTAAGTTAAATGCAAAAAAATTTGTTTATAGGAAGAAATTAGAAAAAATATTCAAAATTAAAAAATATTGCTTTAAAATTATTTTTAGGTGATAATTCAGTTGATAAATCATCTGATGATGAAGATAATATTAATGAATCAAAACATGGAAAAAAACCTACATTCTATACAATTACTACAGATGAGAGTGA